ACCAGAACAGGGTGAGCGGAGGGCGGCCCGGGCCTTTTTCCTCTTTATTTTATTTATTTATTTATTTTCTTTTTAGTGGGCAAGTCATAACATCTCTTTGCTCTTTTGTTTTTTTCTCTTATTGCTGTACGTGCCCTAAAAACTAATTTCAGGCACTTCTCGAGCAGTGAGATGTAGGCTTATGTTATTTCTGATATATTTATTATGACTAGAGGCGTGAGGTCTTGGAACTGTTGTCCTTGCAGTCAAGCACGTCTTAGATGGTGTCTAAACGTTATGAATGGAGTGGTGCCATTATGTTTAAGGTAAATGCTTGGGCTAGGAAGTTTTTCAATTAATATTTCTGAAAAAGACAAGACAAGGGTGAAATAAATGATCTTATTTCTGTGTAGTCCTCATAAGTCAGCTGCTTTTTCCAAAGACAAACATGGGCTTTTAGAATCCTTGCTGTACAGTTGGGTTTTGTATGCAAAACTTGCAGACTTCTTGGTTTCACGGCACAAAACTTGTTTCCATTTCAGATTGCTTTTGGCAAGTTGCACTTCACGAATTGTTAGGAAGCAAATGTCTAAATCAAACGTGTTGAGAAAACTGCTACTAAATGTGTGTTGTCTCATTTCAGGCACTAGTTGATGGCCCCTGCAGTGGTGTCAGAAGGCAGGCTATGCCTTTCAAGTGCATGCAGCTCACTGACTTTGTTCTCAAGTTCCCACACAGGTGAGTGGCCTCTGTAAAACCTGATGTTTCCCTTGATGTCTGAATTACGTGATTTGATGCTGGCTAAATGTAGAAAGTTAGTATAATGTTAATTGAATTGATAAATCTGTGTGGAGTTGGAACTTGTCAGATTGTGTTACCAGTTGCATACATCAAAAGTTTTTGCTGAATATTGACTGATAACCACTGCTCAGGAAGGTGGAAGAAACCAATGGGCTGCCCCAGGCAACTTAACAGCAGTGGTTACATTAACACTGTGTAACTTTGCTTCTGTGTCCATGGTGTTTTAAGCTTCTGCTTAGATGGGCTTCAGGCATTGCATATGTTCCTTTCCTATAGAGCTGTGCTGGAAGGGTAGGAGGCTGAACTCATTCTCTTCCTTAGCTTTGTTAATATAAGATTTTCTGTGGTTTTAGATATCGTATTGTGTGGGAATTCCTTTTGGGGTGGCTCATCTGTTTGTCCTAGCCAAGCATTTGCACAACAAAATGTTAGGTTAGTCCATAGAAGTGCATGTGTCGCTGACCTAGCGTGTGATGAAATGTAACCATTAAATAATGTATGTACGGTGTGGAAAAAAGATCTTCTCTTGCACTAAACTTTGAGGGCTGCTATCAGTGAAAAAATGTGCCTGCTGTTTAAATATGAATATCTGCCTGTTCAAATGCAGTGCTCGTCAGAAGCATGTGAGAGTTGCCTGGGAGAAGGAAAATATTAATGAAAAATGGGCAGCCACGAGATGGGCAAAGAAGATTGAAGCCAGAGAAAAGGTATGATTTTTGATTGTAATACACATAGTGCCAGCTAGGCTCATTAAAACTAGTGGCAGTCTAATGCACTGTGTATTCGTGGAGATTAAGGTATGGATTATTTGAAGCTGCTGTCAGCTTTTTATGCTCTTTTGCAGCTTTCAGCCTTACGCTTTTACAGCAAATTTTGTTCAATCACTTCTATAACTTACCTCTTCTCCACCGCTGCTTCCCAGGAAAAGCATTAAACAATTAAATCAGTTCCTGATGTGTAGTTAGCCTTCATTTGGAGATAACAAAATGTAAAATGTTTTAAGACACTGAAGTCGTTACTACTTCTTTACATAGACATCAAAACTTCATGATTAATTCTTTTCAAACAGAAAGCCAAAATGACTGACTTTGATCGCTACAAGGTCATGAAAGCGAAGAAAATGGTAAGTGTTCTGCTTTTACTGCAAATTCAAATCTTAATTCTTTATCTTAAAAACTTTTCCTTTAAATCTGGCTGGGGTTATGGAATGACCCTAAGTGTATGAATGCCTGGAATTTTTGATGATTCTTTACCCATCCCTTTTTCTTAAGCCGTTGGTCAAACATGTTTTGTGTATTCATCTTGTAACTTAGAGCTAAAGAAGGAAGGAATTGCATGCAGCTGAAATCAGACCTTATTGATGGGTTGCTGTTACTCTTTCATTCTTTATTACACATCGCTCAAATTATGATATGCTCAAGTTACCAGCTGGAATGATGCTGATGACTTGGTAGGTCATCAAAATAGTTTAGGTAGAATTTGGTATTTTATGTATAATATGTGATAAACTCTCTGACTTAGTAAAACATAATCGGGCTAGCAAAGGATGATTATCCGGAAAGCTTGGAAGTGGAATAAAGGAATGGCAAGGGATGATTATCCAAAAGGGGAGAAGTGGAAAGCTTGGAAGTGGAATAAAGGAATAACATGTATGAAGAGTTGTTGTTTCATTCTGAGTAATAATACCATTTTTTTTTAACAGAGAAACAGGATCATCAAGCATGAAATGAAGAAGCTCCTGAAACAAGCTTCTAAAAAAGGCAAGAAGTTACAGAAGGCACAGAAATAGAATAAACTTCTAGCTGTGTGTTTCACTGTGTCACTTTTGTGTCTGTTCTTTTTTTTTTTTTTCCTAAATTGATGAATGCTTAAATATATGATTTAAACTAACTGCAAGGGTAACATATGTTTATCTTTGCTTCTGGCAAAGAGTTGTTGTCTGTTTCATTTCCTAATGTCAGTGTTGGGTTCCCCGTGTTTCTCTGGTACACAGGAAAACGTGTTTTTGTCGCTCTCTGCTAAGATGCCCATGTGGACTGTGCTTAATACCAATTCCCAATATTGCTTAGCAGTATTTGCTCACCCAGTTGCAAAAAGGAGCAGTGGGAAAATGTGTTTTTGTCGCTAAGATGCCCGTGTGGACTGTGCTTAATAGCAATTCCCAATATTGCTTAGAAGTATTTGCTCACCCAGTTGCAAAAAGGAGCAGTCTGGATCCTCAGGCACCTTCAAGCAGTCTGCTAGGGAGAGGTTTAGGAACGAGTAAAACTATTTGCAGTCTTTGCGAAACATAAATCATCAGTTAAACATCTTTTTTTATTTCCTATATATTCAGACACCTAGTCTGACCTGGTGCTGTTCAAAGTCTCAAGTATTCTGTATTCTTTAAACTTGTTTCTCTGTACCAAGTGACTTGTAGAGCTTCAGTGTTGTAGGTTTCTGATAACACAGCTGTCCTGTAAGATTAGAGCTGATGACTTTACTCAAGAATAAGGGTTATTTTCAGAATGTTTAGAATTTAATAGCCTGTATCAGTGCCTAAGCCTAATTACACTTCTTTTTAAACAAAAACATTAAGTAAAAGGGGATGCGACCTAAAAAATGACTCAAAATCCATCTGAAATACTGAAGTGATGCACTTAGCATCAAATACTATCTGACAGTGCAAATACTACTTGTTTGGTATTTCTCTAAATAATTCTCATCCCTCTCTTCCGTATGTTTTCTCCTGTGTTGTAGGTTCAGTTCCATGAAATATGGAAAAATCTGGTAAGGGTGTCTATAGGGAAAACTGGTGTGTTCTTGATTGTCCAGTTGATTGTTACGAGTTCATAAAGGCTTTTTCTATATTGTTTGGCCTTTTATAAAGGTATTTGATTCCTGGAGAATAATTTTATTTACAACTACAGCAGTTTGTTCAGTGTTTTCATTCGCACCAGTGGCGCCTGGCAGCTGTTCAGGTGCCTTTGAAACATCTTTCCAGATATTAGGTGCTTTATAACCTGTAAAGTTCCTGTTGTTCTGAACAGGAGCCTGAATCTCTTCAGGTACAGCTGTGCTTGAATTTGGGATAGTGGCTTGTAACTTTTCCAAGAGCTCTTGCTGGATTTTGAAAGCGAATGTCATGTCCTTGTTTATCTTGGTGCTTTCGGAGGCCTGGTGAGACCTGGGCAGGGGGTAGGAGTCAGCAGAGGGAGCTGCGGTCTGAAATATTTTGTTTAGTCTTTGTGCAAGTTAACTACAAAATGTCCACAGGGAGGGCCAAGTACTGGTGGCTTCACTGTGGCTCTGTGTTACGGGAAGGGATGTTCAGGGCAGTAGTGGCATTAAAGGTTAAGGCCCCCGTATGGTGAGGAGGCTCTTCGTGCATTAGACAAAAAATAATCTTTTTAAAAATACATTTCTTGTTTGGTAAGTACACCGTGTCTTTCTAACAACATGTTGCCCAGGAGCAGCATCTGGTGCTCTTTTTTCCTGACACAAGAAACCCCTCTGAAGCCTTTTGCAGCTACTGCAGCTTTGTGTCATGTCAGTAGCTGCCTTTCTCCCAGATACCTTGAGCTGCCTGTGCTGGAAGGAGTGGTTCCTGGTTCTGTAGGTGGCTAGTTGGTCAGTTTTCAAATCCGCAGGGACATAGGAATCACTCCCGAAGCACAGGACTGATTCCACTTCCGTAGCTTGCCACGTGATGGCAATGTTCATCTCTTGCAGTTGCTGTTGAGGCTTGTGCAGGTAGGACAACTCTGCTGCACTTCTGTGTAAAGCAGCAGCACCAAACAAAGGCCGAGGCACAAACATTCGAGACCAGTCAGTTTATTTAGGAAGATCTTGTTCTTAGAGTTGGCTACGAGGCATTTTGTTGGACAAGGGCAGCAAATACTTCAGATTTACTGATATTTATATCCTGACCGAAAGTAATGCATGCTGTTACCTTCTAGCCCACGTTTGCCTGGGTGATTACCGTGATGTTTTCAAATCGTATGGTCTTGTAACTACCTACATGTTAACTGCTGTCTTTGGCTGGAGAAATCAGGGTTGTTGATGTCTCCAGCCTTCCCCTTAAAGGAACAGAGGAACGAGAGAGCCTGCTTCCTTGTTGGAAGATCCGAAGACGACTCCAGCGCAGCCTTGGAGCCACGACTTTGGACCCATGCAGACCCCCCTCCTCCATAGGATGCCTTGACCCAGTCCTCACGTAGAGGAGGACATGTTAAAATATCGTTTAACATGTACCCAGGGGCCTTCTGCCAGGAAGGTATTTTTCAGGCTATCTTTCTTTGTTGCTGCCTTGTTATTTGGGAGCAGGCAGCCTGCGCTGGGTGAGGAGAGGTGCCCTCGGCGGCGCTGCGCTCCCATCCCGTCCTCGGCCTGGGCACTCGGTGGGGCTGCGCTCCGCTGCCGTCCGCTTTAGGTGCAAACGGGGGGCAGAAAGCCCATGTTTTGGGGCACGGGTGAGTAAGGTATATATTAACCCCCAGTAGTGAGTGCTTGCACAGTGCCTCAACGGGCAAGACGTTTTGGAGTCGCAGTTTGCAGAAGCCGTCAAGCAGAGTTGGCCGTTGCTGGTGCTGTCGTAGTCAGGTGCTGTATTGAGGCGATCTAAAAAGATGGAAAATAGGCTTGTAGATTCCCCCACACTGCCTTTGCTCCGACATCTTCCTCCCCAGAGCCCCAGAATAGCTTTAAAGGGACTTTTTGCTCTTTTTTTTTTTTCTATTTTTATTTTTTATTTCTACTTCCTGTCTCAGTCGCAGTGCACGTGTGAGTCTTAGCTCACGCTTCATGTCTCTATAGATAACAGAAGAAAATCGGTGGGGTTTTAGCACAACGAAGTGGATGAAGCCTGGCAAGCGGCATCGTTCTTGCTCAGGCTGCTCAAAGCAGGGCCCAGGGCTGGGGAGAGGCTGCCTGGGGAAGCTGCTGCCCTGCAGGATGTGTCCAGTCCTCGTGCCCGTGGAGAACCAGCGCCTTGGCTCCCAGCGCCTGGGCATGGCCGTGGAGGAGGAGGAATGTTCACTCCACGAGTACGTGTGCCGCCTGCTGATAAGGCCACAGTTTTGTTCTCCTGGGAGGCGGATAGTGGGAAGCAAGGGATGGAAAGCAGGGAATTGCAGGGAGGGGGCTGTAGTTGTCTCCAGCGCTGCGTTTATGGAGTGGGACATGCTCCCGGTCACAGAACGGTGCTTTTTGTGGTCTCCCAGCCCTGCGCACTGAGTCTGTTTAGTCTTTTGACGCTGCTTGTGCTAACTGCCTCCTCAGTCTTGTGATAACGTGTTCCAGAAGCCTGTTGTGGAGAAAAGTGCTCTCCGCAGTGTTTTAAAACAGTCTCCTACTATGAGGGTTGTCTCGTGCTTGAGACAGAAGCTACTCATCAGCCCCATGGTGCTGAGGGTACCGGTGGGGAGCTTCGGATGATTGATGGTGAGAAAATGTTATGTCATAGGGGAGTCCAAGGAGGCTCGTGTTGATCAGATGGAAGAGGGATTCCTTCTACTCCAAGTCAGGGTTGCTTCTACTTGGGAGCATCCAGGCTCCAGGGCTATCGCCTCAACCATTAGGAGTGAAGGACTTGCTGACTAAGGAAACATGGGCCCTTGTTTTAGCGAGCAGGGAAGTGGGAAGACCAATTCCCTCCAGACCTCAGTGGCAACCAGCCCTAAAACGCAGGACAAACCCAATGGAAACTTGGTCAAACCTCAGCCACGTCTGCTCCCATTTCCTTCCCTGGGGATGCCAACAAAGCAAATTTCCCAAGCCATGCATTGCATCATCGAGCTCTTCACTCCAAGATCCGCCCTCGTCCCATGCTGCGTAGCTCCATCTGGGTGCAATACAGGGTCCCAGGTCACTCTCCCTTTGCAGTTTTCAGAACCTAATTCCTTCAGTTATTAGAAACTTCTTAATTACTTGCCTGCATTTATTCATGACCAATTTACAGCCAGCAGGCTCTGCTCCTTGCTTCTCTAACTGCAGGGCTGTCAGGAAAGATTCATGAGCCCATATGTTGTCGGTCAGGTCTCTTTTTCAGCATCCACAAGTCAAAGTTTTGGGATTAAAAGCTGCTGCAGTGCCCGACTACTCCATGTTTTAGTGCCTATATTTTCTTCTGTCCAACTGCTATGGTGACAAAGCGCTTTCCCTATTGCAAAGGTACATAAGTGGCAAACACAATGTCTTTATGGACCCAAATCAAACATATGCCAATAGCTTTCCCCCAGGAAAAGAAACAGATTGTTTCTGTTTTCTCCTTTCTCTTTCTGTCTCTTTTTTGGGGTGGGAGAAAATGTTCTGTGCATCCAGCAGTGCTCATTTTTCGCTCAGTTCTGCCTAGTCCCACAGGTCGGAGCTGGAGAGGTTTCGGACGCACGGACAGCAGTATTCCAGCAGGATGCCCTGTGGGCATGGGGGGCCGCCGTGTCCTCATGCTCTCGCTCTGCGGGGACAGGCTCTGCTCGTGGCTCCTGAACTCGCCTCCCGCACGTAGGAGCAGCCAGTTTTATGTCTCTGAAAAGCAATTTGTGAGCTGCTCGAACCCCGCGCCTCCACCGTCCAGGTGAAGAGCACGAATCACAGGTAATGCCACGTGCTTCTCCCCCCAGGCACATCCACGCTGCCCCTTAGGCACCGGCTTCCTGAAACCTGGTGGCAGAGCGGTCACACGAGAGGAGACGTGGAGAGTGCAGGAAAAAGTCCTGCTTTAGCAACGGCCCTGCCTGCAGGGCATGGAGAGAGCCCGTTCCTCTGCCTCGGCTCTTCGCCTCTCCCAAAGTGCCTATCGGGCAAGATAAGCTTGAGTGACCTGTGCCCACGAG